TGCAGCCGATTACTTGAAGTCATTGAACCTGCTCAACGTCAGTTGTGTGGCAGCAAGTTAATGCATTGGCGAAGCCAAACGAAACTTACAACAGGTTGCAGAGCCAATCAAGTTGAATGCCAATGCCAGGCATTTAGCAATAACCGGTCAGTCGGCAGTGCTTGCATGCGAGTAAATTCAATTAGAATGTGTGTCGCCTTAGAGGCAGCAAATGTACCATGTGCTTGAGTGAGTATGTGTGTAAGAGTTGTGTAGTTAGAAAAGAAATGTGGTGAAGTCATTAATGCAAAACATATGAATTCCTTAAAGTCCCGCACACACACAGCCAAAAAGGCTGCTTGTCAATCACTAGCGGCACCTCCACATAATTCATTGCTGTTTGTTATTGTTTTTGCTTTTATTTCTAACTGGATGTCTGTGTGGCTTAGATATTTGCAGAAAAGTTGCAAAAATGCAAGCATCCATTAAGCTGCGAAGTAATTGGCTCCTGCGCATGAGCGTAAATCTAACTGTAATTGGCAAGTGGTTGGTGGAGTTTTGCTAATAAAATTACTGTTATTGTAAAATGTGTGGAAAATAAGACCATTCTAAAATTGTGATTTTGCACTTGCTCTTCTGGAATTTGACACTTAGTTAAAGCAAAAGCTTGAATTGGGAGAAAATCTTTTAATTTCTTCGCTCTATAGCTTGTTATAAATATCGAGTTGGTCCGAATGAATTCCGAGCCTCTGTCTATTTGAAGTAGGTTTTAAGATATTTTTCTCTGATGGTAGGAAAAAGCACCAGCCCAGACACATAGATGATGCTACTATAATGAAATCAAGGGCCCATGTAAAAATTTGACAGCTGTAGGATTGTGAATTATATCATTTGGAATGACACAAAACATGTGGAACTAAATTTGGATAACCGTAAAATAAAGTTGTTAGAGATAGCATGCACTCTTAAGATATTAACTGAACGTGTTTAGCACAACATTCAGGAATATTTAGGTAGTCACCCACTCTGTGAAAAGCAGGTGCAGCGATAGCTCACTTTTGACCAAAAAACACGACAATTCGATGATTCGGAGCATTGTTTGGAGATGTTCGAGCCCAATAAGCCCAAGTTTTTGCGTGAATGTGTGTCATTAGAAGAAGTATGGCTTCATCATTTCACTCCGAAGTCCAATGGACAATCATCCGAGTGGACTGGATATGATGAACCCGCTCTGAAGTATGGGAAAGCGCTTGAGATGGCTGGGAAGGTTTCGGCGTCTGTATTTTGGAAAGCGCTTTGAATAAACTTTATTGACTATTTTGAAAGAGGAAGAGCCGTCAACAGGAACTATTACATAGCGTCCCATTTGAAGCACGAAATCGACGAAAAACGACCGCATTTGAAAAAAACAAAGAGCTTTTCCATAAAAAGAATGCATCAGAAAAAAACGATGGGAAAAATCTCTGAATTGGGCTTCTAATAGTTTCTATAACCACCGTACTGGGAATACTTTTCAATCAGCGAAACTGAGGTCTATTTTGAAGCAAAAGATAAATCGTAGTACAGAAGTGGTATCAAAAAGTTGGAGAGTCGCTATAATCAATGTATTACCCTTGGAATAAAAAAAGAACAAACAAAGCCGGGGGCTTTTCAATTGACCTGATAGGAGTCAATCCACCTCTGTTAATGCAGATAACATCGAAAAAAGTTAAAGAAACAGTTCATGAAAAGCATTGTGTTAATATCAGAGAGATACCAGAGCGCTCAAAATTTCTAATGGATCAATTAAATTAATTTACATATATTAGTTTGTCAAAAATGTCTTGCGGTATTTTCGCTAGTTGGCGCTGAGAGCTTGTAGTTCTAGTTTTATTCGTCGCATCGGGTCATGCTATTGGTTTGAGCATTAGCCAATTTGTAATGGCTAAAGTTTGTAAGGGCGATAATAAAGACTTGTAATAAGATACATGAAATATTGTTTTTTGGTTTTTTTTTTTTTTTTTTTTTTTTTTTTTTTTTGTTAGTCAGGGTAAAATTTGATGAGATGGTACACTTCATACGTATTCTGTGCTATACATAACAACATAACACTCTATGGCGTGTAGTTGTCCTCATTCTGGTTCTCCTCATTTCTAGCCAATTTAGAAAGGAAGAAAAAATGCTCTTAAGGGCATATGTTTTCGTCTCTTAGCTTGTCTTTACTAAAAGTCTCCGATTCATTTTTTCAAGCAACCACAGCAGGTTATGCTTCTGTCGAAAACATTTACCACATTAAACACAATGCAACCGACAATTTCTTAGTGTTTCGTATGTTTGTATTTGCCACTATAAAATCTTACCGTTAATTACATAAATCAATATTTTTATAACGGTACATGAGACGTATTATGGTCTTAGCGGTTTTTTTTACAATTTTGAAAGCATAAATTAAATGTCATGAGCAAGAGCATCTTGAAAATTTATCTACTCGTCGATAAGATGCATTTAAACTTTACATTACACTTAGTAGATGGAAGAAACAATAACAAATATTTGCTTATTTACTTATTGACATGCAGTAGCGGTGTTTGTTTAGTAAGCAAGGTGTTGTTGCAATTGAAATTAATTTGAGGTTAACAGATTTGAAAAGCAACTATTTGTTATTCACTTTAATCCAGTGGAATGCCTAGCTTACTAAGTATACATAAATATATGTACATATGTATGTGTATGAGAATATACGAATTTTAAGCAAATACAAATATTGATGGACCACACAGTTTACACCGCAAATTAGCGCTAAACTAGGCGTGGAACATGTTAAGAAGAGCACGCATTTACACACATACATATATACATATATACAAAGTACGTGGTTTTCTGTATTTATCGGTATGTTGTTCCTTTCTGCCTACTTAACGACGCTAATAATGCCAATTCGACTCTTTCACAAAACAAATACAACAGACCCAATATTTACTTTTTGAGTTTACTTCCGCAGTTATCCACCGCATACTTATTTACATACCTACTTATATAATATATGTATGTTCTCATTCTATATATTTTTATGGTTTTCATTAAAGAGTTCTCACAGTTTTCCAGCATTTTGTTGCTTTGTCGCCGGCGCTAATTGTCTACCTTAGTAAATCGTGCTAACTGTTGATGACAAACCTCGCACAAAGCACCATATATATGTGTACATACATATATATGTATGTATATACACTTAGTATTCATATTAAGAAAAAAATGACGGAAGGTGTACGACTCGAAAATTATTAAGAATGTTTATTGTATTTGCCGCTCATCTTTACAGTTACGAACAAGTTCTCAATGCAATGCTCAACGCTAAGGTCTCGACTTAGTCAGTTTTAAGTGTGATTTTTATTGGCAAAAACGATTATTAAAACTGTGATTCTCATTTAACTTTTTATCGTGTTTTAATGCTTTTTTATTGTTTCATAGTTTTTTTTTTTTCTTTTTCATTTTACCTTTTCGACCTCACGTTTTCTCTAATTTTACTATAAAAACCGTTAATCAGCTTTTTTCACTTTAGATGGAGTCAAACAAAAAAGAACGAATAAAAAATCGAGTAAATTTTTTTTATTACACCGAAAGCAGATCAGATTTCTTTTAATTAGTTATTAATTCTTTGATAGAAAAGACTTTAGGAACATAATCAGAAGACTGAGTGGTCACTGCCTTGTTGCGATACATGCACGCAGGATGGGGGGGCAAGACTACGCTGTAAGCGAATGTAATGGGAAATGATACACTGGAGAAGGCATCGATAGTGAGGCCGCAGTCAAGCCCAGGCCTCTTAAAGGATGAATACTCCTCTTGGTCTTAGCAACTGAACTCCCACCTGAAAGTGAGACGGTGAGAACACCGTGGATGTGGCAGCAATTCAAAGCCCAACTTATGGATTCTTGCCATCGCTTTCATTGGCTTGTAACACGATGTATCATCATTTGCTTTTCCTTCTTTTTCTTTAAATGCGGCCGCTTTTCGGCGACTTCTTTCTTCACACGACCCCATAATGCTATGTAATGCTCATAGTCGCTGTTGCTGTTTTTTTCTTTTTCAAGATATTCAATAAAAATTACTTCATGCGCTATCCAAATACGGAGCCATAATCTTGCAAGTCGACTGTTGACTTTTTCCACGCTTTGGAGCGGGTTAATTATGCGGATGATTGCCGATTGGACTTCGGTGTGAAATTTTGACGCCATGTTTCATTCATTGCCCCATATCGACGTAAAACCCGAGTTTATCATGCTAGAACATCTCCAAATACTATACCGAATCATCAACTCGTCGTTTGTTTTGCTCAATGGTGTGTTCACGCGGCACCCACTTTGCACAAAGCTTTCTCATACCCAAATATTCGTATGGTTATCCTTATAATTTTGTGGACTTTTTTGATGTTTTCGTCTGTAACGTCCACTGCGTTAATCGTCTTCGGTGCTCTTTTCACCACGTCTAAACTTACCATAACAATCGTGATGGATGAGTTTTTGCACCAGCTATACTTTTTCTCTTGAAAAAATCAATACAAGCGCATTTTGAAGGTTATGTCTAACTAAATAGCATATGGATTTAATTCCAGTGGCGCCATCTGTGGGTCTGGCCAGGGACTTTTTAATTGACCTGTTACTTTATCATGTGGCGACAAAGCGGATTCCAAGAACAAAAATTCTAAAATATGTCCTTAATGAATGGATCAGTGTATATTCCTTACACCATTAAAGATATTTTACTTATCTGGAGAATAAAAATAAATATTTTTTAAACTCCAACCGATTTTGACAGAAATATCACAAATTATAATATGACAATAAAGTGTGTAGCTTATGGCGAACCTTCGAAGAATATTATAAATCATAAGTTCTATATAGGATTTAAAAATACTCCTAGAACAGTGCTCCTTCCACTAAAGCCGTTTTGTGGATTTATTTTCAAAATTACTTCGATTTTAGCTTTACTCTCCAAATATTATACACTTCCAGTTTCCACTCTCCCTCAATTCAAGATAATGCTTCTGATAATTCAATATATTTATTAATACTTTGCACTAAAGGCATAAATATACTATAAATTGTTTCAATCGTTCATATAATCGTTATAGTTAGATGTCTGTTTATGCTTAGAATGTAGCAATTCCGCACTTAAAATATTTTATAAAAAGTTTTCTTCAACTAAAATACTTAAAAGATACCATCAATTCAACTTGCGTCCAATTTCACTAATTCTATTATTTTGTTACTTAGCATTTCAGTGCAGTCTTCATACTCAGTAGCCCTCCACTTGACGACAAATGCCGTAGCTGTCGCGTCGCTGTCCAGGCATGCACAGTGAATCGTTTGCCTCCTTGACCATTGTGTCGAAGAACTGCTCCCACTCAATGTCGTCTTTCAGCTCACGCGGCGGCACATACAGCTCACCCACACGTGCATTATCCTCTACATCGTCCAAAATCTGTGAGCGATCAACGGCATCGTGAGGCATCTCAAAGCTTTTTCCATTCGACTCTGGGTGGAAGTAGAGACGTGGCGTATCGATCGGCGGATACAGGTATGTAGCGCCCAGCGAATGATCTGCGCGATAAAGTGGCTGCAGATCGGCGCTATTTTGATGTATACTATTCGGTGAGCTCACACGGTTTGAGTCCAAAAAAGTGTCGCCGCGTATGGCACGCGAAATGCGATAATAGCCGTTTTCTGTGGGTTTGGCCGCGGCGGTTGTTGTGGTTGTGGAAATCGTGGCGATGTCGCCAGCAGCAGCGTTATTGCCAGCCGTGAGACCGGGTGCCAGCAACTGATTATAGCTATCCAGGTAATTGCCAGAAATACGCGCTGGTGCGCTATTCAATTCTGGCGGTGGTAAAGCTTGGATGACCGTCGGCTCAGCCTCCAAATGATAGGGTTTGATGAGGTGCTGGTAAGCAAGTGGATATGGTGGCGGTAATACATCCACCGGACGATCGGGCTGTAAATCAGCTGAGGCATTCTCTTCATTGGCGGCGATATCAAAGCGAGACGTGGTGCGACCCTCAATGAAATCTGAGAGACGATTGGAAGATGCACCCAAAGTAGAAAAAACTGATGCCGGGGAACCATGCGCACCGAGGAAGGCATCAAAAGGACTTTGCGCAAATTGCGGTGCGGTGAGATAACCACGCGATCCTTCTAATGAGTGTGGTGCTTGCTGACGGCCCCCATATTGCAAACTTGAAGGAAAGGTTGCTGATGACTTCAAAGGCTGACGATATTTGGTGCTGCCTGCGGTGTTTGCGAAATGTTTGCGCTTCGACTTCGAACGCAGCGAACTGCGACGCACTGAGGACAACAAATCTAGTATGTCCAAACCCTCAGATGGTGACGGTGGTATTAGTACGATCATGAAATTCTCCAAATCGGCACGTATATTATACTGGCCATCCTGACGCTGATCATAGGTTACCACACGACGTTGCGGTGAGTCCACATCGCTGTCGGGGGGCAAAAGCGATGTCGGCGGCGAGGCTATGGGAACCTCGGTTAGAGTTTCACTAACAGCTTCCTCATTCTTTACCGTACTGGAAGCAGCCGCCACAGCGGGAATAGTAATTGTGGTTGGTGCGGCTTGTGTGGTGATAATGGCACCGCTTTCGCCTGCAGCTGCACTCTCCGCGCCGCCGGCGGACTCAATGATGACGGTTGGTGTTGGCGTTTCTTTTATGGAGCTGGGGCTAGTTGCCGTTGTTGTGGCTACACTACTTGCACGCGATGCAGCAGCAGCACTTGTTACACTTGCGGGCAACGCATAACTTGCGGAGGTTGGTAAATTGCCATATCTGTGACCCGCTGCCGAGCTGACAACGACCACGAAAATTAAGAACGCGCTTCGCATAACTTCTTCCTAAATTTCTGTATCACGCGTTTTTTTCCTTTATATGAACTTTAATTCGAAATTGTGTCAGCTTTTCGCGACTTTTAAAGTTTAATGTTAAATTTTTTATGCACGAGCAGAAGCGCAACTGCCGAACGTTCTTAACTCTCACGCGTTCCAAACGCAACTGTTCTGTGCTGCGTGCGAGCGTTCACTTAATACTTCGCGCGTCTGTTGCCACTGTGGACTGCTCATCTCCATGCTTCGGACCATGAGCAATGCGCTCAATTATTTGCTTTGAGAATTTTCAGTTTTTTGTTGTTTAGTTATTTACTTGTGCGCAAACGCACCTCGTTTTGGCGCTGGCATAACAGACTTGCCTCAGCTCATCTGCTTTCTTCTCTATTGACTCTTTCAACAGTGGCGGGTTGTGTGGCAACTTTTCTTTCCAACATCAGAAGAAATGCAATCGCGTTTGTCTTGCTTTTAGCCTCACCTATTTTACACTATTTATTGTTTTTCTTTACTTTATTAATTACACTGCTGTCGTCGTTCTATAGACACTTTGATGTGGGTTTTTTTTAAAGAGATTTTTTCTATTTTTATTGCAGCAAATTAGCTTTATGATTATAGTAACGGTATACTTATATTTTTACTTGTTAGTTGAGAACTATACATATACTTATAACGGTATTTCATCTTGTTTACAGGTTCCACGGTGAATTCGCATCAAAAATATTGAAAGTTCAGTTTTTTTCCACAGAAGCTTTCGAACTTGATGATTAAGATCAAAATTGACCCAGACTGGGCGCACAAACTTCTCGCGTCGTAAACAAACAGCCAACAGTCACACACTAATAGACATATATATATCAAAGAATACGGCTTATGGGCGTTGCTAAATGTACCAGTCCGGGGTAAATTTGATCTTGGATGAATTTTTATTTCTGAAAGACAATGACAAACAAAATTGTTCGTAATACTTATCCAATTGCTTAACTAAGCTCACTTTTTATATGAAGACTACTAAAAGTATCCTACATGAAGCTGCAATCGATATTTTTGAATGATCCTCATTTGTGGATCGATTTCGCTCAAAATAAGTGCGATACCCCTACGAATGTCAACCAAATCACCACTGGAACCCGTAACCCAATTTTTTCGACAAAATGATGGGGGACATTACTGGCGGCCAAAAGCATAAATCTTCTACACAGTCAAATGACGTGCTAAAAATCTCGAAACCTCGTCGCAAAATGTCCTTTGGAGCAAAGAAGCAGGCGGAAAGTAGTTCATATCTACCGCATTTGAGACCACAAAGCAATTCCAGGAAAGAAAACAACTGATAAGGCTGCCAAAAAGTATCCTTCATCTGGCTACCGAGTCGGTACGGGAAATACAGAAATCACTAAAAACGATTCAGAAAGAAATTTTTAAAAGGGCTGACAAATAGATCACGGTGACATGGAATATCTTAAGACATGCAGGTTCGCCAAGATCATGTGCAGGAGCCCCGAAGAAAACACTCATACTTTTTACTAACACGTTCTCAAAGGGACTTCTCGACGATTGTTGGCCAAAGAACCTACTGGCATCACATGCGAACCATAGTATTGACGATACAAGCAGAAACTACATAGAAATAGATATGAGAGAGACGCTGAAACACCTCCTACGCCTTTGTCCGGCATTACCTTGAACTCATCTTTAATATCTACGAACTTTGAGATTCAAGGAGCTATAGGAAGTATAAAAATTATATATCAAGTCGCTCCTAAAATTAGAAAAACTCGTTTTCGTCTTGTATGACGAATACTTCAGATAAAATTAAAGTGAACTTCTATCTGAGATCACTGACAACCGGCCAGTATAACCTAACCTAACCTTATTCTTTAAAATCTTAATATGACATCTGTTAAAGCAGAAAAACAAAAGCTTTGGTGCGGAAGGTCGCGTTAGCAATGGTTCTACCTTGTTGTTGTTGCCATTCAAATAAATATTTACTAAGCCATATACTTTTTACGAGCGTACGAAAGTCTTGTAGACGTTTGAGCAGACGCTCCTCAAAAATGTGTCACAATGGAATAATTCCCAGCGTTGTTGACCCATTTTAGTGTTTGTTTTTTACCCTTGACTAATTAACGGTTTGTTTGAAGTTGAAGGTTGAAGTTTTTGTAGATGAAGAACAAATGCGTGTTGTTAAATAAACGCGAAGTTTGGAAGAAGACGAAGATTGGCAAATATTGAATATGTGTGCTGGTTATGTCCACAAGCTATATTTGCTGGTATGTTTGTGCCTTGAACAAGATGTGTTAAGTTTGCCTGACAAATTATAATGCTCCGAAGGAAATTCGGAGACTCTATTAAGTATATGTATATAAAAAATAGTGAAGAAATTAGTCGATTTAGCCATATATACACCAACAAGTCACTCGGTTTTTGGGACATTGAGCCTAGATTTCGCGATCGTCTCTCTCTTTCCAAGAAACTGCGCATTTGTCGGAACCGCTGATATCGAACCACTATAGCATATAGCGGCCGTACAAACTGATCGATCTAAATCAAGTCTTTGCATGGGAAATTATTTTAGTTGACAAGATATCTTCACTAAATTCGGCGTGGATTATTTTCAATGGTAACACTGTAATATCTGAAAAAAAAAATTCTGATCGGAGAGCTATAGCATATAGCTGCCATACAAAGTGATCGATCTAAATCTAGTTCTTCTATGGGAGACTTTTTTAGTTGACGAGATATCTTCATGATATCAACTCTGCAATGTCTGAAGAAATTTTCCAGATCGGACTACTATAGCATATAAGTGCCATACAAACTAACCGATCAAAATCGAGATAAAAAACTTTTTACCCTTCTATGGTATAAGATATGCTCCAGTGAAAGGGTAGTATAGCTTCGGTTCTGCCGTGGCTTACATCTTTCCTTGGTTTAGTTCACCATGGAGTTTATTATTATTATTTATATTATTTTATTTATTATTTATGATTTTCTGTAATTTTAGCGAATTAATAAACACAAAAAATTTAATTATATACATATTTTTTTTTAAGTTTAGTTAAACAAAAAACACGCACTCATATTTTATTTAAAAAATCCAAACATCCCAATTCAACCGTTGCAAGGGCTTCTAGCGCCTGCCTTATAAAGCTCAACTGCTTCTGTAAAGTCCCTTGCACTTGACTCACGCGTCAATGTCAATTTACTCACATGAAACTCTAGCGAATTTTGCAACGTAGAACAATGTAAATAATAGTAAAATGCCAGCGAGAATAAAATATTTTAAATCTGCGCGTCATTTCGTCTGCTAAACTCATTTGCTACGTGATGAGCATGCGAAACGTGATTGAAATGCTGTCGAGTTTGTTGTTTAAGTCTTTTGTTTTTTGCGCACACCTGCGCTGTATGCCATAAATACAGTTACATACACGCATATATATATTTGTATATTTATGTAGGTAATCCGCGCGAATTATTTTTTCTTTACGCAAGTGCTGCTATTGAATTTGTCAAAAAATTAGGGGAAAGGTAATTGAACTGCGCTTGTGTTACATGCTTATCTGATGATATCTGATTGTAATAATGCAACCTGAACCTGGTTTAACTTTCCTGCTTTTTAGGATTTCGGTCGCTTATCTTTTAATTTAATTACTTTATTATAACTTTTAATGACGATTTCGTGGAATTGGAATTTTTTTATTCAACTTGTTTTTTTCTTTTTTGATTTTGTTAAAGTGAAAGTTTTTATTATATATTTTAATTTAAACTGTTAGCTGATAGAAATCATGTCTGTAGACACCATGGACCTGGAGAAAGTCAATAGAGTCTCAACTTTTTTCTTTGAATATTCTTGAAAGTCTAAGTAAAAAATGTATGTAGAATTGGAATTAAAAATGTACTTATTTTATTACTTAAATTTTTCATTTTCAAAGAGGTATTTGAGATTAGAAATTTTTCAATTATTTCTTATTAAAATCTTCAGTTTTATATATAGACCGCTCTTGTAATTGATTACTAAAGCTTTACTGAAGGTCATTGAGAAAGTAAAATTTTACCAATCTAAATTAAAGACCTACCTATTTGTCCCTACCTTTTTTTGATATTTTCTATTCCAATTATATTTAATATTGAACCCCATTTGCATATACTTTCATGGATCTCCAGAGGTTTTTGATAGGATTTAGGTCCCGACTTACTGCCTGCCAATCCAATACATCGATTTTTTTTACTTTCCAAAATTTCCGTGTAGACGTAACTCTACGGATTGGTGCGTTATCTTGTTGGAATATTCACATTACACCACAATTGGCCAACAAACTTCGCTAACACGTTATACAGAAGCTCTATGTATTTTACTTTGTGGAACACAAAACAAACTGGAGTCTTCCTTGATGTCCAAATGCGATACATATTACAAGCGATCTTCCTTAAAAACTTCTAGCGAAACGGGTTTCCTTCTCACAACGAATATCATGTTAATAATACAGAAAACGCGCGTCCATCTAAATTAAACTTTTTCTCGTTATTAAATGTAACTGATAGCAACTCGGCGTCCCAAAAAAGGTAACTTTCAGCAAACTAGTGCCTATGCAAAAGTCTAGGTTTACGATACGAACTTTGCTAAATGCTAGTAGTTCAGACGATTTTCTGCGTTCTCACTAGGCCAATGGGATCTCCAAGTCGCTCAGAAACTAGTAGACCAATGCCTACCAAACGCACGCTAGGTCCATAGATCCAGATATAGTATGCAAAATGGTAAAGGGGATTCAACTTGTTTCCACTTTGATGTCAGCGTAGTACGCTTTTCAGTTCATCGTAGTCGCTCATATTATATAAGCTCTTCATTTTAACGGAAAGGTCCTAAATTTAGGAAACTTTCTATTTTTTTATTATTATCGGATAGAAAAATTCATATCTCGCTTCCAACTACTTGAAAAAATATCTCGTTTCATCGATTTTTTAGCAAATGAATACTCTACAAATTGTTCACTTACGGTTTTTCCCAAAACCTAACCGTTTAAAATATATTAACGTTTGAAGTTTGATTATCTTAAGAACTTTTTTTTCTGAATTTTACAACTTAATGAGAAAAAAATAGTAATAATATATGAAAAACTAATAATAGGAAAATTTTTGCTCAACAAAAATTGTCTATTATTTCTTTCTTATTCACTTCATTTCCAT